CAGCTCCACCCATGCGCAGTTTCAAACATTTACATTTCGAGTTATTATATGAGTAGTGGGGGAATTTACCGGCGACTGACTAACTATGCCGATCCCACTTTAGGTCATCTTTTATTAGCCAAGAAACGTTCCGAGCGCCTGTGGTCCTGTATTAAATCCAACTGCCAATGAACGCCGACAGGCCAATTGGAGCTACTCCACAAATCGACTTAATTGGAGGGTAATAGTTCTTTATCGCCCTTCGCCCAATAACACTAAACCTGCCCCTCTAGTGCCTCGCATAACAAATTACATAGGGAGGCTGATGTGTTAGGGATCGGGTGAGGGGTGTGTGTGGGGAGCAATTTCCCAGGTCATTCTTGGGTGTACCTGGAATAGATGGTTGCCAAATTTACATCTAAAGACTCGTACATACGTACCTGAAACAGTCGTTATTTGTACACTTGCATGGTTATGGAAATGCATGTACAAAATTGCGTGTAAATTGATTAAAAATCAAAGCTTTTGAAATACTATGATGTTTTTTCAAGTGCTAAATTATGTCATGACACAGTGATTATGCATTATTATATACTTAATTAAACTTGTTTCATTTGTTGGTCCAATCTTCCAGGCCATAGTTTTTAAAAACACTCTAGACTATGAAAGTCATTGAACCCAGAGCTTGACAAAACCGTACTATACTGCATTGTGAGTTATGCCATCATGAATTGTCAACCAATGTGTACAAATGGTTATTGAACATCTTAAATGAAGTGTGTCAGTGGTGCTGGTGTGTGACCTTAACATAAGGTCATAAAGTAACCCTGCCAGCCTGGATTCATGTACGAATATTTACATTTTTTCTGCGATTTTTTTTAAAATAAATTATCATGATAAATTTAACAGCATTTTGAAGGTCCTCCAGCATGTAATGATAACATTATTACCCTACTAAAATATCAGAGGATACAGTATAATAATAAAAAGACATTAGCATAACAAAAAAGTGAGGTACAAGGCCATCCCATCCCTGGTAAATTTATTTAGGACTTTTTGCAATAACAGTACACCAATACAGATAAGCATGCATCTTCTATTGCATTGGTGATTTGTATATTGTATTATTGAAATATTTTGAAAATTGAATGTTGTAAACAATTTTACTGAAAATCAATTCTTGATTGTGGTTATATATAATTTATTCCACATTATAATGCTAAATAAATTAAGTCAGGCTAAAAGCAATGTCAACATGGTTCTTATTTATATTCCATGTACCGGTACATTTAATGCCTATTTTGCTGGAATTACTGGTTGTGAAATCAATATTGGAATTTGTGTTGTACATGTCATTAAATGCATTGTTTATTTTTTATTTCAGTCGGCATTATTTAATTTCCAGAGTTTATTAACAGTTATAATACTTCTAATTTGTACATGTACCTATATTAGAGCACTAGCTCCAAGAATGTTGGATAAAAACAAAGAAGGGTAAGTTGGATTTTCTCCCTCAGTTCAACTTTATTTTTTTCAGTTTTGATTTTTGACTAATTTTTTGTATTGAGTTTAAGTGACTGAACGTTTTTTTTTTCATAAACATTTTCAAAAACATCTTGAATAATTCTAATATTAATTAATTTTTAGCACTCACAAAATTTAATAGTAGTGTCATCTATAACAAAGGTGCCGGTCCAAATGCAATTTCAACTTTGTTACTGAAATAGATTACTGAATTTGGCTTTTTGACAGAACAGAGCCTCAGTTTTGTTTATTTTGTAACAATTCTCTGTTTTTAGTGAATAATATTTTCAACATTCATGGTGAAAACACTGCTGTACATCATGTGTGTTGCTTTCTCCTGATTTTCTGAAACTGTGTTTTCCCATTTAACACCCATGGTGTTTGTTTTCCTTCTGTAGATTACTGGGAATATTTTGGAAGTGTGCCAGGATAGGAGAACGGAAAAGTGAATATGTAGCTGTATGTTGTATTGCTATGGCAGTCAGCATTTTATTCTGGCAGTGATGGTTTTTTTTTTTTTACGGAAAGACTCGAGTCCACATGTTATAATAAGAAATTGTATTCTGTTCGTATCAACTAAAGAGGGCGCTGTTCATTGAGTATTCAGACTATAGAGGGCAACAATCGTCTCTGTTCATGGAATGTTAAATGCACTATGACAGAATCTCTTATATACTGGTTGAAGACGAGATGCATGGGAAGTATGGGACTATCATAATAAATAACTATATCACTGAGTTTTCTTTTTTTAAATTATCTTGTACTTTCAATACTGAATGCAATTTTCTTATGTACCGGTAAGCTGTATAGTATACTAGCTATTAATCATAGATCTGTATTGTTAACATAAAATGACCAAATTTCTTGTCATCTGATCACTTTAATGTATGCCAATGTTGGTGATAGAATTCACCTTTTTGCAACCATTCATTGCTTTTAATGTTCTGACATTTCTGTGTTTTTTTTTGTACAAGCACATTCCCTCAACAACTGAGAGACTGTGGTTCAAACAATCAATATGTACAGAACCACATATTTTACCATTCTATCAGTTCTACCAGAAATATCAAAGCTGCATGACACATAAGATGGATGAAATGTGAATGGCGTCTATTTCTGACCAGCCATTCAAATAGTTTGTTTTAGATAAAGAAAGGGTAGAGTACAGGGTGCAGTGATTTGAGGGTTGATACAAAAACATTTACCGTTAAGACATTGTGAGTTAACAGAAATATCAAATGAAAGATGCAAATTACTGTAATATTCAGAAAGTTTTATTTCATATTTCAATAAATTAAATATAAGATTTACTGGAGCTATAGATACAATCCAGTACTTGTAAACATGCGTCTTTTGAGTATAAATTGACTTGTGCCAATATTGGTCATGTGACTCACTGTATAAGTCACTTTGTTTATTTTCTCTTCGTTTATAAAGATTGCCATATTTCTACTAGACTTGCGCAGTCAGGGCGATTAATTTTTGTTGTAGTTATAGTTATAAATAAAAAAAATCGCGAAATGGGGGTGTTAGCGCGAAATCACCCCGACTGGTTTATTCTGCAGGAAATTCATTGCTATTAAATATTCATGAATGCACATATTATAATGAGATGGGCGTGGAAATACGTGCATAATGAGATCAACATAGTGAATGTCACACTACAGACCCAACATGGCGGCGTGTTGAAATTCGAGTTTGTCGAAGTCGTCGTAAATAGACTTAGAATGTAGCATAAAAACTGTAAAACGTAGGTTTTAATAAAGTTTCTAGATGTAGTGACATTTTCTTTTCATTTCTTCTTGGTCAAAGGTCAGTTGAAGAGACGTTGTGATTGGCTTAGATGATTGTCAATTAGAACACTCATTAACATAATTACCCAATGAAAAATCGACTGGCTCCTGCAGTGTCGATATAAGGCCATGCAGAATAAACCAGTCGGGGGGGATTTCGCAGTTGCAGAGTATTTCGCGCTAACACCTTCATTTCGCGATTTTTTTTATTTTATTTAAACTACAAAAACAAATTAATCTTGACTGCGGTAGTCTATATTTCTCCATGTAACAACCCAAAGATCGTAAATGCCACACTTTAATACAAATAAGCCTGGTATGTAAATTTATTAAACTTTTGCAACTTGGCCAAGTGATACATTTGTATTCCAGCTGGCACCTCCAGTTTAGAATTTGTGTTTTTAATATTGTCGTTCAAATGCTGTTCAGAACACAAGCGAATCTGTCAACTGCTTCCTTCAGAACTTGTGTTTATTAAGTTGCATGTTTTTTTGGATGAAGTCTGCAAAACTTTGTGCCTAGAAGTACTTGATTTTGTAGGATATATCAGCTAACTGGTGTACCCAGTATGATTTGTGTTCGTACAAATGTGTCACTAAAAGCTATAAACACAAGTACTTGCATTTGTAATGTGTGTTTCCTGCTCCACTTGAGAACACGCATCAACAATTTGTCATCTTTCCAAGTTGATTAAAATTGACTTGCACAGTGCTGAGAAATTATTTACTAATTACACACTCAACCACCGTCACAACTCATTCCACTAGCCCTCCTGTTTGGGCTATGCCTGACACAGAAATCGTCAGAATCACACTGTTTCGCTAAAGCCGGCCTTTCGTAAGCGGCCCATGAACCCGTGCGTGATCGTGTTAGAGAAAGCTGCATTTCACTGCAGTTAAATTGAGTCATTTGATTGGGCGCGCCAAGAAGCTGGCGCTACCAATCAACACTGCTGTATCATAAATTAGAAGATCCGGAGGTCATCACAGATTAAACCAATGGCGGCGTGCAGGCTCTGCGCTGATTTACCGGGAGTCAAGAACAGAAGGTCTATGTTAGTTTCCAATTTTTGTTATTCCAACGTTGAAAATTGTTTGTGGACTGAAGACTATGGAATGTTTAAATATCTTGGCAAACTGTCGAAACAGATAACATGTCGACTTGTCCAATCCATTCTTCGTTGCAACTATCGCATCATTTCCCTCAGAAACAGCACTAAGTTGTTGTTTTTTTGATGGTCAGTAAGGTTGTTCAGAGAGAAAGGGTTAGCAACACGTTGATTTCAACCGAGCTAGCGCCATGATTTTACCAAGTAATATGTCGTTTCTATCGTGAGTTCTGATTGGGTAAATCAAATGAGCCCAAGTGAATCTTATAATTGTTTGAGGGCGTGCGACATACAACAAATCCTGGTGAAATCTGCCAAGGGTTAATGTTGAGGCTTCTGCTGAATAAATGGTCCTTGGCTGGCGAAGATGCAGAAATCAATGCACACAGGGCTGCCACTACCCATTTGCCAAAAAAACTACATTCATTGGAAAAAGGTGTTTTACTGAATCATTCCTATATGATAGGGCTGAAATCCAATACAAAACAGCGACTTGAACAGTTTGATTAAAAGTTTTTTCAACTCTGATGCATGTACCAACATAATATGCATAGTCAATAAAGCGTATTCTGGTGTACAAACTCAAAAACAACTGACAAATAATTCACAGTAAGTCAAATGAGTAAGAGAAAGATCATGGGAAACAAAGTACCGGTATGAGCATTTGGCATCCGCCATATATTAAATGCTTTTTCAGAAACCCAGGGTGCCGTCTGATATTATCTGTGTAGTTGTGTTGTATGTGTAAAAAAAAATTATGAATATTAGGGAAAATCGTTCCCTACAAAATCCCTGTGAAAAAAAAAAACGTCTATAAAAAATATACTACATGGCCTTGCTTGTATCATATTACGTGTGGCCGGAAATGTATACCCAGGAAAGAATAGGATGTTAATGTGGGAACTGCTGGGCACCGTCTCCGGCATGGAACTTTTGTTTCTTCAATTCTCCATTTTTCATGAATATTTTGTGTAATTTTTGACCAAAAATGTTACCTTCCACTTCTTTTTGAAAACTTCTAATCCGATTGGTTTTATACTTAATATACAAGTAACTTTGGTGGACCTCTATTAGATTTAAACATTTAGTGAAGATATTTTTTCTAATTTTATTTTCAACTTTTTGAAGCAGTTACTGATAACTATTTTATATTTGTTGTATACCCCGGTATCTTTCTTAGGTTTATTACAAAAGGCATACATGGTAGTATTTTGAGGGTTCTTCGCTCAATGTACTCCCAACTAAAGTCTTGCGCTCGTTTTAATGGTTCCCTTACTGAATATTTTAGTTGTACTGTGGGAACAAGGCAAGGATGTATTTTAAGCCCCTTTATTTTCTCAGTTTTTGTTAACGAGTTGGCTAATTATATGGATTTTGAACCAGGGGAAGGAATTTATGTTACCGAGAACTGTCAATCAATCAGTATACTTTTATATGCAGATGACGTAGCAGATGGAGCCGACATGCCAATTTTTTTACAACGTAAATTGAACAAGTTAGTTATTCTGTCAACACTGGGATATGCAGGTGAACCTTGATAAGGGACGACGTCAAAAGATCGATGTTGAATAAAAAACTTAATTCCTTTAGTTTTTTTCCAAACCCCCCACTGAAACTTAATTGATAAATATTGGTCATGGCGTCAGACTACATTCACCTTTAAATACAAATTGATAATCGGACAGTAGTATTGCATAGCAGTTGGCTGTCGGGTGGGTGTAAAAAGATTTTACAAATGCACCTCATTTGACGCACATATTTACATTCGAACCAAACCATTTTTCTGTTATTTCTGTCCATGATTGGATAGAAAAAAAACGAACTACAAATACTCCAAGATTTTTTTGACTTCATTAAAAAATAAAATCGTTTTTGTCGGATGGAAACTTTGAGGTCAAACCCCCCCCCCCCCCCCACCCCCAAACTAAAGGAAATAAGTTTTTTATCAGACATTGATTTTTTGAAGTCGTCCCCAAGACAAAAATAATATTTTGTAATGGCGGGTTCCTCAGGAATTATGAAAAGTGGCTTTATGGCTGGTAAAAGTTTAGATACAGTAAAACATTACAACTATTTAGGATTAACCACTTCTTCTCGACTGGTATGGACTCCAGCTTAACAAAATCTAGCTGTGCAGGGTGGCAGTTCATGCTTTCGGGTTCAGACAGTAATTAGAAAGTTGGGTGGTATTTCTGTATCTGCTGCTTTCAAACTTTTTGATGCGATGATTGTACCCACCTGTTATGGGAGTGAGATCTAGGGTTAGGAATATAGTGAAATTATTGAACGTGTTCACGTAAAATTTTGTAGTTTTTTCCTAGGGGTCAATTGCAGTGTTAATAATGTAGCAGGGTGAATGTGGACGAGTGCCATTATGTTGTATTTAATTTAGGTGATGCATTGCCTATTGGTTGAAACTTTTAAAATTAGATTTAAAAATAGATACTCAAGAGCATTTTACACAATGCTCAAACGTTTGGATGAAGCTCGTAGAAATACCTGGGCTTCTCACATCAAAAATCTTTTAAGTATGGTTTTGGTATCAATTCGACGGAGCATCAAGTTGGGGATACTGACAATTTTCTAAATTTATTTTCCCAACAAATTAAAGATTGTTGCCAGCAGGAATGGCACAGCGAGGTCACACAATCGTCTAGACTTGCCACTTATAGGAAAATAAAAACAGCACTTGCACCCGAAATGTATTTAAATGACATGTAATCATAGATTAAATTACATACTTTCGTTGCTATGGGTATAAACTCAACATTGAAACGGCTAGACATCTGAAGCTGTCAGTTGAACATAGAATATGTAATTTTTGTAGTAACTCTGGAGTTGTGGTTGTAGAAAATGAATTGTGAATAGTGGAACATACTCAAAAAACGATTTTAAAATATAAACAGGTGCAAACATTATCTCTTTTGAATGCTTAGCAAGATTTAGCAAGGCTGTACATAAATAATAAAAAAAACATGGTGAAAAAAAGAAATGACGGGATCTCCATATTAAAGCTGTATTTAACTTTTCACAAAACGATAATACATTTAAATTTGAAACTATAACAGCCACTTTAATTACCGGTATGAGCATTAGGGAACTTCTTACTGAGTGAATTGTTATGCAAATTAGCAATTATCTCAGCTCCTTTTTAGTGCACATTCCAGAACATTAAAAAAAATAGCTCCGAGACACTTTGACCTTTTGTTTTGAAATGTTCACAAATGATTGACAATGTGTTTATCTTCAAAACACCGTCGGGGCATTGTTTTTAGTTGAATAGTGTTACAGAAATCGTACAGACAACTAGCCTGGGTGTTAATTTATGCATAAACGTGAAGTAGTGAAATTTGAGCTGCTGCCCTACAAAATTGACAACTGGTAGACAGTTTTCAAGACGGCACTTTCTTCATAGTAAACAGATGTACCCGTAAACCAATTT